TCCTGCATCTCACTCCTGATGTCCTCCAGAAACTGGGTGAACATTTCCTTCATTTCGTCGCCTGAACTTTTCCCTGTTCCCCTGTTACTTCTGGCTGTCATGCTTGACCCTGTTCCTAGTTGTGCCGTGATAGGATTCGTCAGACGGGCAGAGTGGGGTGGGGGAGAGAGAGATAGAGAAGGAGAGAGAGAGAAAGAGATAAAGAGAGAGATAGATAGAGAGAGGGAGGGAGGGAGAGAGAGAGATAAAGAGAGAGATAAAGAGAGAGGGAGGGAGAGAGAGGAGAGAGAGGGGGAGAGTATGTGTAAGGGGGATGCGGGGGACTGGGGGGTGGGGGGCGTTGGTGGCGACCAGGTCAGGTCAGGTCAGATGCGGGGTAAGAGAGGAGGTGGGGAATAGTAGGGGTTTGGCTCTTTCCACAAAAGGTCTTAATCCTTTCTTCCCTGACTGAACGTTTGTGTGTGCGTATGTGTGTGCGTTTTTGCGTGTGCGTGCGTGCATACGTACGTGGGTGTGCGTGCCTGTGCGTGCGTGCGTGCGTGTGTCACAGTTCCCTTAAGCGTTACCCCTACCTAAATGAGCCACGTTGAGAATTTAAATATATATGATATCGTGAACAAGAATTTTATAATATTTTACTTCGCACTGTACACCTGATTAATTGACCAGAGAGGGGGTACATACCAGTGGTGTGCACCCGAGGGTGTGGTGTGCCCCTGGGGAGTGGTGTGCCTCCGGGGGTGAGGTGTGCACCCGGGGGTGTGGTGTGCCCCTGGGGGTGTGGTGTGCTTTCGGGGGTGTGATGTGCCCCCGGGGGTGTGGTGTGTCCCCGGGGGGTGTGATGTGCCCCCAGGGGTGTGGTGTGCCCCTGGAAGAGTGGTGTGCCCCTGGGGGTGTGGTGTGCCCTCGGGGGTGTGGTGTGCCCCCGGGGGTGTGGTGTGCCCCCGGGGGTGTGATGTGCCCCCAGAGGTGTGGTGTGCCCCCGGGGAGTGGTGTGCCCCTGGGGAGTGGCGTGCCCCTCGGGGCGTGGTGTGCCCCCGGGGGTGTGGTGTGCCTCTGGGGGTGTGGTGTGCCACTGGGAGTGTAGTGTGCCCCGGGGGAGTGGCGTGCCCTTGGGGGAGTGGTGTGCCCCCGGGGGTGTGGTGTGCCCCCGGGGGTGTGGTGTGCCACTGGGAGTGTGGTGTGTTTTGGGGGATTGGTGTGCCCTCGGGGATGTGGTATGCTCCCGTGGGTGTGGTATGACTCCAGGGGTGTGTGTGACCCCCAGGAGTGTGATGTGCCCCCGGGGGTGTGGTGTGCCCCGGGGATGTGGTGTGCCCCCGAGGGTGTGGTGTGCCCTTGGGGGTGTTGTGTGTGCCTGGGGGATTGGTGTGCCCTCGGGGGTGTAGTATGCCCCCGGGGGTGTGGTGTGCCCCCAGGGGTGTGGTGTGTCCCCCGGGAGTGTAATGTGCCCCCGGGGATATGGTGTGCCCCCGGGGGTTTGTTGTGCCATCCGGGGGTGTGGTTGCCCCTGGGGGTGTGGTGTGCCCCCTGGGGTGTGGTGTGCCCCCGGGGGCAAGGTGTGCCCCTGGGGGTGTGGTGTGCCCCCTGGGGTGTGGTGTGCCCCCCGGTGGTTTGGTGTGCCCTTAGGGGTGTGGTGTGCCCCTGGGGGTGTGGTGTGCGCCTAAGGGATTGGTGTGCCTTCGGGGGTGTGGTATGCCCCCGGGGGTGTGGTATGCCCCAAGGGGTGTGGTGTGTCCCCCTCAGGGGTGTGATGTGGCCCCCGGGGATGTGGTGTGCCCCCGGGGATGTGATGTGCCCCTGGGGGTGTGGTGTGCCCAACACGGGTGTGGTGTGCCACCGGGGGTGTGGTGTGCCCCCAGGGGTGTGGTTTGCCCCTGGGGTATGGTGTGTCCCTGGGGATGTGGTGTGCCCCTGGGGGAGTGGAAGCCCTTGGGGGTGTTGTGTGCCCCCCGGGGTGGGCTGGTGGGCCCCCGGGATTGTGGTGTGCCCCTGGGGGTGTGTTGTGCCCCCGGGGGTGTGGTGTGCCCCTGGGGGTGTGTTGTGCCCCCGGGTGAGTGGCGTGCCCCTGGGGGAGTGGTGTGCCCCCGGGGTGTGGGGTGTCCCCGAGGGTGTGGTGTGCCCTTGGGGGTGTGGTGTGTGCCTGCGGGATTGGTGTGCCCTCGGGGGTGTAGTATGCCCCCGGGGGTGTGGTGTGCCCTAGGGGTGTGGTGTGTCCCCCGGGAGTGTGATGTGCCCCCGGGGGATGTGGTGTGCCCCCGGGGGTTTGGTATGCCATCCGGGGATGTGGTTTGCCCCTGGGGGTGTGGTGTGCCCCCTGGGGTGTAGTGTGCCCCCGGGGGCAAGGTGTGCCCCTGGGGGTGTGGTGTGCCCCCTGGGGTGTGGTGTGCCCCCCGGTGGTTTGGTGTGCGCCTGGGGGTGTAGTGTGCCCTTAAGGGTGTGGTGTGCCCCTGGGGGTGTGGTGTGCGCCTGGGTGATTGGTGTGCCTTCGGGGGTGTGGTATGCTCTGTGGGTGTGGTGTGCCCCCAGGGGTGTGGTGTGCCCCCCCAGGGGTGTGATGTGCCCCCCGGGGGTGTGGTGTGCCCCGGCGGATGTGATGTGCCCCTGGGGGCGTGGTGTGCCCCGGGGGTGTGGTGTGCCCTCAGGGGTGTGGTGTGCCCCCCGGGGGTGTGGGGTGCCCCCGGGGGTTTGGTGTGCCACCCGGGGGTGTGGTGTTCCCCCCGGGGGTGTGGTGTGCCCCCGGGGGTGTGGTGTGCCTCCTGGGGTGTGGTGTACCCTTGGGGTTGTGGTGTACCCCCTGGGGTGTTGTGTGCCCCCCGGTGGTTTGGTGTGCCTCTGGGGGTGTGGTTTGACCCTGGGGTTGTCGTGTACCCCCGGGGGTGTGCATGGTGTGCCCCGGATGTGTGGTGTGCGCTTGGGGGTATGGTGTGCCCCTGGGGGTGTGGTGTGCCCTCGGGGATGTGGGGTTCCCCGGGGTGTGGTGTGCTCCTCGGGGTGTGGTGAGCCTCCTGGGAGTGGTGTGCCCTAGGGGGTGTGGGGTTCCCCCGGGGGTGTGGTGTGCCCTCGAGGGTGTGGTGTGTCCCCGGGGGTGTGGTGTGCCCTTGGAGATGTGGTGTGCCGCTAGGGGTGTGTTATGCTCTCGGGGGTGTAGTGTGCCCCCGTGGGTGTGGTGCACAACCGGGGGTGTGGTGTGCCCTCGGGGTCGTGGTGTGCCCCCGGGGGTGTGGTGTGCCCCCCGGTGGTTTGGTGTGCCTCTAGAGGTGTGGTGTGACCCCGGGGGTGTCGTGTGCTCCCGGTGGTGTGGTGTGCCCCCGGATGTGTGGTGTGCCCTCGGGGGTGTGGTGTGCCCCCGGGAGTGTGGTGTGCCCTCGGGAGTGTGGCGTGCCTCCGGGGGTGTGGTGTGCCTCTGGGGGTGTGGTGTGCCCCCTAGGAGTGGTGTGCCCTAGGGGGTGTGGGGTGCCCCCGGGGGTATGGTGTGCCCTCAGGGGTGTGGTGTGCCCCGGGGGTGTGGTGTGCCCCTGGGGGTGTGGTGTGCTCTCGGGGGTGTAGTGTGCCCCCGGGGGTGTGGTGTGTAACTGGGGGTGTGGTGTACCCTCGGGGTTGTGGTGTGCCCTCAGGTTGTGGTGGGCCCCCTGAGGTGTTGTGTGCCCCTCGGTGGTTTGGTGTGCCTCTGGGGGTGTGGTGTGACCCCGGGGGTGTGGTGTGCCCCCGGATGTGTGGTGTGCCCTCGGTGGTGTGCCCTCGGGGGGTGTGGTGTGCCCTTGTGAGTGTGGTGGGCCCCCGTGGGTGTGGTGTGCCCCTGGAGGGTGTGGTGTGCCCCCGGGGAGTGGTGTGCCCTAGGGTGTGTGGGGTGCCCCCGGGGGGTGTGGTGTGCCCCTTGGGGTGTGGTGTGCCCCCTGGGAGTGGTGTGCCCTAGGGGGTGTGGGGTGCTCCCGGGGGTGTGGTGTGCCCCTGGGGATGTGGTGTGCCCTTATGGGTGTGGTGTGCTCTCAGGGGTGTAGTGTGCCCCCGGGGGTGTGGTGTGCAACCGGGGGTGTGGTGTGCCCTCGGGGGTGTTTTGTGCCCCCTGGGGCGTGGTGTGCCCTCTGTGCCCTCGGGGGTGTGGTGTTCCCCCGGGAGTGTGATGTGCCTCTGGGGGTGTGGTGTGCCCCCGGGGTGTGGTGTGCCCCTGGGGATGTGGTGTGCCCCTGGGGGTGTGGTGTTCTCCTCGGGGGTGTGGTGTGCCCCTCGGGGAGTTGGGTTCCCCCGAGAGTATGGAATGCTCTCCGTGGAGTGATGTGCCTTCCGGGTTGTTGCGTGCCCCGAGTGTGTGGGTTTGTGGTGTGCCACCACGGGCGTAGTGTGCCCTCAGGGGTGTGGTGTAGCCCCAGCACTTATTCGACCCGGGATCAACCACCAGTCCACACTCCACCCAGGACTAGCCTCCAGTCCACACTCCACTCAGGACCAGCCACCAGTTCTCACACCGCTCAGGACCAGCCACAGTCCTCACTCGACCCAGGACCAGCCACAGTCCTCACTCGACCCAGGACCAGCCACAGTACTCACTCCACCCAGGACCAGCCACAGTACTCACAGTACTCACTCGACCCAGGGCAGTAACAGTACTCACTCGACCCAAAGCCAGCCACAGTACTCACTCGACCCAGGGCAAGTATTCCCATCCCTTACTTCCATCAAGTTAGCCCCACAGACTTTATTAGTATATTTTACTACGTTTGTTCTGGCACAGCTGCGCATATAAGAGGAACAGTGTTGACGTGTTCTCACAGGTACGACGTTGATGAACAATGAACACGACATTAATGAACAATGAACACGTTGTTGACGAACAATGAAACACAAGAATAACGAAGCATAAACATATTCTATATAAAATTATATAATAATTAGCACTCTCCAGCAATTTGGAGTAATTCTGTCTTAGCACGAGATGGTACACCTAGTAACTCAAAAAATTTATTTATTATGGTTTCTTTTATACAAAAGAATGTACTTACTTATGCAGATGAGTTACAGCTTGAAGATACTGCTGTGGCTCAAATGGTTGTTCCAAGTGCATGGTAAAATATCCGCAATGGCGCCAAATTCCATGTTTGTTCATGGCTATCATGTCCTCTACCCTGCCATCGCCTGGGTGAAGCCACTTCACCTCCTGCACTTCATTCCTGAGGAAATATAATAATTACTTTAGAGAAACTTAGGAACCAAATATTGTTCAACAATGGGTGTAATTGTTTAAACATTCAGCAAAACACAAAGGTCAATTCTTCTGAAACATTTTCTTCTTGACATAGATACACATGTTCATCAAAATCAATGGCCACCACTCATTGTCAACAATTTGTTTGGGAGCGGGTTAGGATTATATGATTGCAGAGGGGAAGTGAGAGCTCCTGGTATGGGGAGCCGCCAGCCCCGGGCTTGGGAAGAAACCACCTTTCCACAGCCATCATTCAGTCTGTTTTGTTCGTAGACTCCTTCACCAACATGAACTTGTCAGCCTCAGGCAGCCCGATTCTTGGCGACGTTCTCCTAGTTTTCAGTCTAAGGCGCAGTAAATAATAATAATAAAGATAATAATAATAATAATAATAATAATAATAATAATAATAATAATAATAATAATAATAATTTATTCATAAGGAAATACAGTGGGTTGGTGAGATTACATAAGATTGGTATTTGTACATTCTTCTAAAGCCACTAACACGCACAGCGTTTCGGGCCGGTCCTTAATCTAACATTTCAGGTAAGATGAAATGGTACATTGCAGCCAAGTTTTTTATCAACAAATAACAACAATATAAATTGACAGAGGTGATTACACTGGTAAAGATGTATGTCTTAAGTATTAATATTGGAGTGTAAGTAGCACAAGATACAGTATGAGTTTGAAGCACAAGGTAGGAAACTATGAAAATTAAACTATGCTCGAAGTCTATTTCATCTCGATGTTGATTATTGGTGTCAGCTCCTGCATGAACACAGCCTCAAGCATAAGAAGCTTTCTACTGTCGTCGGTGCGTGTGATAACTGTCGTATCTTTCACTATGTCTTGACGATTAAGGATGGTGGTGTTGTAATATTGATAATGATGTTGCTTAATACCTCCTTGCAAAAAAAAGAGTAAGACGTCTACTCAGTGTAGTAGACGTCCTACACTTCATTGGATATATCCAATGATGTTACGGTATCGCCACCTTCATTGGAGTATGGAGTGGCGATTGCGGCGCCATCTATAGGAGGCCTGGTCGACGACCGGGCCGCGGGGGCGATAAGCCCCGGAAGCACCTCAAGGTACCCACCTCAGTTCCCCTGATATTGGACGCTACATGGACAACGCCATCTATTGGTGGTGGAGTGACAGCGATGAATGGCTCCTGTTTCCTGCCTTGATCAGACAGAGAGGTCGACATATAATAATAATAATAATAATAATAATTTGTATTTAGGTAAGGTACATACATAGAGAGATTTTACAAAGTTTGTTGGCTTTATAGATAGAGCTAGTACATACAATGCCTAAAGCCACTATTACGCAAAGCGTTTCGGGCAGTGATGACATGCATGGATGACCTCTGGTGGATGGCGGGTCACGATCAGCACCATGTGCTACAGAGCATAATGTCAACTCCCCGGTCAGTGAGTGTTACTTCATGGTTTCCCCAGTGTACCGTCCATCTAATTGATGACGTTTTATGTCCACAGAAGTGATATGTGGAGGTGATTGTATTGAGGAAGGCAGTTTACCTTGGGCAGTCCACATACTCTCAGCTTGGTCCCAGAAGAAGACTGAGTAAACCGCCTTCGATCAGGGCAGTGTGTTAGCTGCTAAATTAAACAGATGGTAGAGGTCGGCGTACTCCAGGATTTGCTTAGGAGAGTAACAGACGACAGTGAGGTGTCTAATTGTGAAACGCTGCTAGTAGGCTGCTAGAGGCTTCTGCCAGGGGTTAGCTACCCTTGTATATGGTTGTTTGTGACCCCTGACAGCGTGTTACTGAAGTCCTCTGCCAGTGGGTTGCTGGAGAGCGAAAGTGGGGTGAAAGCACCTCGTGAGACTGTCGGTGGACTGGCCCACGTAAACGATGAACTCGCCAGCGTTTGTCAGGTACATGTGTGCAAAGTACTGGGTGGTGGAAACGCTGGAGTAGGTGAACACTGCCAACGTAGTAGTGTCCTGATTGAAAGTACCTCTACTGTAAATATGTGTAGTCATAATCTGTTTTATTTAAGACATTTTTAACAGTGAAGGTGTAAATATATTGGTTAATTGTATAGTGTCTTGTTTATACCCCCCCCCCTTATTTCTTCTTTGCACTACTAGTTCTGAAAACGTACCACCAACTTGGGGTCGGATACTATACAAGAGGTTATAACATAAAGAACCCGGTCACTGACCCTAAGTGGCCGTAACAAATGATATCTGTTTACATTGAGTAGACGTAGGCATTAAGTAGACGTCTTACACTTTATTTGTAAGACGGAGGTATTAAACATCATTCTCAATACCACAACACTATCCTTAATCGCCAAGACATGGTGAAAGATAAGATAGTAATCACACGCATCGACGATCGTATGAGGGCTCGTATGCTTGAGGCTATGTTCATTCATGAGCTGATACCAATAATCAACATCCATATGAAATAGACTTCGAGCATGTAATTGTTCGATGGTCCTCAATTAACCCAGAGGGAAGATGTAAGACCTACATTGGCGGACAGCTAGAAGCCGGAGTCAGGATACAATCACCAGCTCACCCTACCCTTCCCCGCTCCCTACGCTTAAGGGGGTTAGGTGAATTGTAGAGTGAGGTGTACCCCGCACTAAATGACTAGATTTATCCATGTAAGCTGTAACTTCTGGCGGTTTACAAGGTTGTTGTTCTTTAACAACCTTGTAAGCCGCCAGAAGTTACAGCCCCCCCTCCTGTGCCAGGTAAGTCCACTACGGGCTCACCATATCTTGATCTTGAGGTTATCTTGAGATGATTTCGGAGCTTTAGTGTCCCCGCGGCCCGGTCCTCGACCAGGCCTCCACCCCCAGGGAGCAGCTCGTGACAGCTGACTAGCACCCAGGTACCTATTTTACTGCTAGGTAACAGGGGCATAGGGTGAAAGAAACTCTGCCCAATGTTTCTCGCCAGCGCCTGGGATCGAACCCGGGACCACAGGATCACAAGTCCAGCGTGCTGTCCGCTCGACCGACCGGCTCCCATAGCCCGTGCTACTTGAAACATTTTGTTCCTAGTATCTGAATCTAGAACAACAACAAATTGTAAGCCAAACGGGCTCACCATAGCCCATGTTATATGGACATTTCGTTCGGAGTAGCTAAATCTAAAACAACAGTAAGTCCCCCATGCCTCTCTTGTAAGCTGTATTCCCACACAGCTGCCCCCCTCCCCATCCGGCCCGTTGGCGTCGTGAGGGGGCTTGGTGGACGGCTGCCGGAGTGTGATGCTCCGTGGGGCAGTCCTCTGTCCTTTTCTGGCCTTGCACTCCTGCTGCTGTCTTCTCTAATTGTGCCGGATCGCTTTTCCTTTTCCTTATGTTTCGTTTTTCTCCCCCCTCTTCTCCTATCTGCTTGTCGTTTCCTGCCGACCTTTTGCTTGTTTTGGATTATTTCTTTGGACTTCTTCTATTTTGACGCCCGGGTGCTTGAGGAGGCATACTCTTGCACCCGTAGAACTGTAGTACCCAACGTCTCGAGCGAGGGGAACCTTTTATTGTCAATCCCCCTTTCGTCGCTGAACCCGATCTCGACGGACTGACGGTTCTTAAGGTGGCGTTTGTGGGGCGTATACTCACGACGCACCCCTAGGGGGCCCCGGCATGATCGGCGATAGCTTCCTGTTGGGTGTCCTGCCTCTAATTGTGGCTCCATGGTGGGTATGGGGGCACATTCGTGGATGAATTTCTTTCTCTTCGTCTCTATGTCGATGAATGTTTCCGTTGTACCCTCTCAGGCTCGTGGGGTGGGCGACCAAGCCCCCGAGTCGGCCTGTATTGGAAGACCAGGCTCTGTAGCTCCCGCTGCGTTGGGCCCCGACCTTGCTCCTCCTTTGACCGTCCTGACTTCTTCCCCCAGCTCCCCTCCCTCCTCTGTGGTTGGGTCGAGCCTCCAGCCCCCGGTGGTGACCACTTCGTCCCCTGGTGCGGCTAAGTCTCTCGTTGTGACTACTGCGCCTTTTGACCCCTCTCTCTCTAGGGGTTCTCAACGCCGTTCGCGCCCCAGCCGCACTCGCTCGATTCCTTCCCGTGCTGATGCGTATCAGGCCTTGTTTGGTCCTGCTTCATGGGCCAAATACTTTGATCTCCTCCCTCTTGATTCTGCGCCTCCTGACGATTTCTCCCTCCATCGGCATCTTGTAGATTCCGTGGATGCGTCTGTTACTTTCAACCCCACTCGTCTCGGTACACGTGTCGTTGCTGCTCCTTCTCAGGATGCAGCTTCCCGCTTGGCTGCCTTATCTTGCCTTGGCGAGATCCCTGTTCGGGTCTCCAAGAACGTTCAGATGAATGCCAGTGTTGGCACTATTCTCCTCCCACCCCATGTTGCAACCGGTGTTCGGAATCTGCAGGATTGCCACGATGATATTCGGCATATCCTTGATGCCCAAGGCCATTCTGTCCTCCAGGTTGACTCGTTTACTCGTCCCCCTCGTGGTCGTCGCCGTCAACCCCTTCGCGTTGTGAAGATCACCTTTGATGGTAGGACCCTTCCATCCTCTGTCATTCTTGCTGGTGCTAGGTGCTCTGTCCAGGAGTATATTCCTTCTCCTCGACTTTGTAACAAGTGCTGGAGGTTTGGGCATGGTGCCCTCCGCTGCTCTGGGACTGTCTCTCTCTGTCCTTTGTGTGGGGGTGAAGGTCACTCTAAGTCGGAGTGCACTTCTCCCCAAGCTCGCTGCCTCAACTGCGGTGAGGCCCATCCTACCTTCTCCCGTGCCTGTGTCCATTACAAGCTTGAGGCAGCCGTCCTCAACCTGAAGCACCGGGAGCGTTTATCTTTTCCTGAGGCGAGGCGCCAGGTTCGCCGGCTCCCGCCTTATACTAACATCTCTTATGCTCGCGTGTTGCGCTCTTCCTCTCCTCGTCCTTCCCCCCTTCCTCAGACTCACAACCGTTTCCGGGCCTTGGACCCTGATACGCCCACTGCC